GGCGCAAAACCTGAACATAGTATGTGTGTATCGGTTAGGATTCAGGTTGTGCGACATCTTGGTGCGCATACTTGGGTCCCAGTCTGTATGAATTTGAGAACACATTGATTAACCAACAAGATTTCCGTGTATAGTAACTCCCCGCGGGCCAAATCTGACCCGTTGGGTAATTCAATCTGTCCCTAATGATACTGTCACAACCAAACTAAACTAAATTTAGATGTTTTAGCTAAAAAATAGCTCAAGGAGTTTGTTTAACTTAGGAATAAATTTCTAGCACTCCGTCCAAAAACCTTGTCCCCCCCCCCCCGATCTAGAGCCTTATTTAGAGTGAGAATGTGAGAACCCCTCATGAAAAATATAAACAATACTTTCACAATATCGATTCCTTTATATTTGAAAAATAAAAGCAGCTGAATATAAATTGCAAAGAAAATAATCAAAAACAAAAACAATGTGTGGTCGATTTATGCGCGAAAAAATGAGTTCCGAGATGTTTTAGCTGGAAATAGCTCTGAACACCTTGTGCAGTTAAGCGCACAGAAATCAGCCACAGATAAAGCATGGAATGAACGTGTTAAGTACAATTATACAAACATAACACAATGACGGCAGAGAACGTCAGTTTACACAATGAAAAGTGAAGTAATGCAAGTTTCAGTTAATTTCAATATGGAACTTCAGAATAGTAACTAACTAGTAATGAGCAATTGATATAAATTTTGATGGATCTAAAACAGGATGTACGACATTTTTGTGGATGGGCCATATAACCAACTTCAGACATCCAGCTAACATCCAGCGGGTCAAAATGCTTTTTTTACATTTCAAAAGAAGTCCAAAAAAAAAAAGGGGGGGGGGGGGCTGTCTACTGCATGAAAGCAGAAATAAAGATTCACAATGATAGAGTGAAAGGGGTACTTGCACAATGCTCTCATATGGAATTTCACAATAGTGAATTGTAATACCAGTAATACAGGATGTCCATAAAGTCCCATTACAATTTCAATTATGTAATGAAGTCGGTTGAGAAGTTTATTATATTTCAATATATCTTAACCAGTTTTGTTGTATTTTATTCAGTTTCAATATATCTTAACCAGTTTTGTTGTATTTTAATCAGTAATTTTTTCAAGTATTTTTACTTCATTTAATACATCTGTGAGCGCCAAAACAATAAATGGTTCGATAAATTCCCTTTGCAAGTTTTAAGACTTTATGGACACCCCATACTTTCTTCGAATGTAATGTTGTAATAACGCCTAAATATCGCTCATAAAAATTTTTCGAAATTGATCATGCAAATACTTTCAAATATCATATTCATGTAATTCAGCGTCCATTCTATCTCTATGTTCATAAACACTCAAAAATATACCCTTTAAATTAGTAATTCTAGAATAATGCAATAGACTATAAATAAAATCATAATATTTTCAAAATAACACAATTTTCGGTGATATGGAGCTGCTTATGGAGGCTAAGAAAGTACGTTAGTCATGGATTAAAAAATTGAATGAAATTTATGACGGTTTCTATAAAGCAAGGGTTCTCAACCTTCATTATTGCTTGGCGAATTTATTTGAGTGCTATTGCATTTAAAATTTGAAAAAAAAATTCATGGCGTCAAAAGGGCTTTATGGGCAACCTGTAGATTACGGTACTTATTTTGCAGAGGTAAACTATGGATGAATGGTTTTGGAAGTTACGGATGACTGCTCTTTACAGAATTGAAATTAAACATTAGATTGACGGAGGAAGACGTCACGATTGGATGTTTTATTCAAGTCATGCAGGATTGCTCTTTGCAGAGTTCGAATTGAATTCAAAATTACACATTAGGGCAAAGAAATTTCCTTTTTTGAAAAAATATGCCACAGATGGATGATTTATTCAAGTCATGCATGATTGCTCTTTGCAGAGTTCGAATTGAATTCAAAATTACACATTAGGGCAAAGAAATTTCCTTTTTTGAAAAAAAAAATGCCACAGATGGGTGATTTTTAAGTCACGCATGATTGATTGGTTTTGCAACAAGCAGAATAAAAAATACCAAACAACAACAATAACAGGATAGTACTCCGAGGGTACAGGGGCCCCCAAGGGGGCCACAGAGAAGTTTGAAGGGGGGGGGCACAATGTTGGTGCAAAAGGGATTTTACTTTTCAACAACCCCATTCTACCTAGTTTATTGCCTAATAAGGTTATTTCATAAAGTGTTTTTGCTTTGTCGAGCACGAACTGTTTGAACATAATACCACTGGAATGATAAACAGAAGAGCCATGAATGCTAAAACCTCCCAAAAAGGGGGCCAAAAGCCTTAAAAGGTTCGAAACCACTGTTTTAATCAAAGATAAACAAAATTAAAAAAAAAATTTTGTGTTGGTACATGGTGCAATAACATGAAAGCAACAAAACTGAATAGGATATATTTACTTCCTAACTATTTCTAGGACCCTTTCCTTTAACACAATAAATCTGCATAATATGATTTTCTTTAACACAATTACACATAACTAAAACGGCAGCGTGATTTAAAGTATTTAAAAAATTGTTGAGCATAGGATAGGAGCATGCAAGAAAACGTTTGTGTGAGTCACAAAAGTTGGGGTACTCCCGTAGCGTGTGTACCAGGTTAGGATTAGGCCATAATTTTATACGATTTTCCTTATTTTGGTTTATTACGAGTTCGGGGACTGTCTGTGTAAGCCAAGTGAATATAACCCCTGCCCATAGGTTTTAGTCCCTTTACACAACTTGATGTAAAGTAGGCGAACAAAATTAGTTACCTCCATATTGGTACACACACCTCTGGAGCGCCAAAGTTGAAAATCAAAACTGTATACAGAAAAGGAGAGGGGGTTTTGAAATGCAATGCAAATAAATTCATATTATCACGGGAAATAATTATTTTAGAAAACAGTCTGGACTGTTCTAGCTCCACAACCAACAAAAATCATTGAAGCGCGACTAGTCAGAATAACCAAACCTTAATATATAAGTGCCATTGCCGCAATTTTTTAATCTGTCGTTTATTGATCAAATTAAAGTTAAATCTTACCAAGTAAACTAAACTTAAAAAGTGTTCCCCGTAAAAAACAATTTTGGCCCGAATAACTTTAAAATTATGTTTACAGATAAATAAAGCATCACTGGCCTATGCTCCTATGCTAAGTAAGTCCTAACTCCATACTCCACCATTCAGTAAAATTTGATCGGGATATTCTGTGACTTGTATTCTGCAAGTTTTCCTTGTTCCTGAAAAAAGAAAGTGAACACTAAATTAAAACGAGTTGTAACAAAATTAGTTTTGAAGTGAACACGAAATATTTAAGACATGTTTTGTCTAAGGCGAAATTTCCAGAGGGAAACAAACTCATTTACAAACCAGGCTGAGGAAAGTCATGCGGTGACTGCAAACTCATCTATCACCAGATCAGCTAAGGGAGTGGTCATTTCGCCAGATAGGAATACGCTCACCACTGCACCACCTCTGATTATACCCTGCATGGGTTCGGTTCACAGGTTCGAATCCTGTGAGAGATAATTATGTACGAGAAGATTGCTCGACTCCTCGTCGCCATAGGTGGTTCACATAACGGCTAGTCGGTTACGGCTTTCTCCACCATCAAGTCCGTTCATCTGGGAAAAAACTAATTCCATGACCCAGGGTACCCCAAACTTTTTGGGTAGGAACCCCTGTTTATGAATCTTAGTTTTGATGAACTTTCCTTACAACATAAACAACATTAATGTGATGGATTAGGTTGCTCTTCACTTGCAAACTTGAAGGGCCGCCTCTACAGCAAATTTCGACCTGTATTTTGTTATCATATTGGTAAGACTAAAAATGCTGCCTCACACATGTAAGAGGCAATAAAATTTTAATCGCCTACTCTGACAACAATGGATATTGTTTCGCAACGCTCGCCCCCAAAGATGCCATGGCCTTTAAATGGAATCAGTCAATAAAGATCGATCCCAATCTTTTCATATCGTTGAAGATCGCCTGTGTGGTCATCACGAACCCCCCGAAGTTTGCGAAACCTTGCCATTTGATAAAACCGCCTTTCCTCTCCCCCAAGATAAATATGTAAATTTTATCTTGTAACACACCAGGGTGACGCACTATGGAAAACACCACTTTGTATAACCCTTTCGTTATTTTCTCTTCTCCTAAAAACTCACTACTAATCATAACTAAGGGAACTTGGATATTGTGTATTGAACTGCAGGTCCTTTCTCCTTGTTTACTTTTTACTTCGGATCCGTATGTGGCACTCAACACAAGGATGCTTGAACGAGATAGTATTATTCGCTATTTGATTAAGTTATATCTTGTATTGTTGGAAGAAGTTAGACCATGATCTAACGAAAGCTCACAAATATACATACTATTTCGTTGAAAGAGAGCATGTTATTTTTACTAATCATAAATCGAACAAAAGTGCGATTATAAAATTATATTGAAATATACACTCGATTCCAACAAATGAATAACGGAAAAATGTAATAAATTTTATATTCGATTATTAAGAATTGTTAAATTTGATTCTTTATCATGTGTACTTGTTCATAGACTTCAGATTGGAGATATGATAATACGAACATCTGACAAGCTAAAATATAATGTTCAAAACTATATAAAATGCACCATACATGGCAAGAGTTACAATTGATAGTTACAATTGTCACGACCCAAGACCCAAGAGTATGGTCGCATACAAATTGGCATGTAGTGCTTTGACTAATATAAAACAATCATCTTAAAACGACATTTAAAAAAATGTGAAAGTGAAAAAAGTGAGTTTTTGAAATCATGGCGTGGCTTTATTCAAGTAAAATAGTTGCTGGCAAATATTTTTGATATTTCCCACAAGTACAATTACTATTGAGCAACACTTCAATACTAAATACGAAGTGAAAAAATTAAATCAACTAGAAAATGAAACCCGCAACTTTCAAGTTTTTGTTGAAAAAACAGGCCATTCAGGAATACTTTAGGCCAGTGGTCGGCAACCACCGGGCCGCGGCCCATCGCCGGTCCGCGGAAAGGTTACTACCGGTCCGCAGAAACATGGCACAAAAGACGGACAATATCCTAATAACATGTTTAGTTGATTAACAACTCAAACAATAATTAGTTGAAAAGAGTCTTTGCGATTCATAGGGTACTCCGACAGTCTTTTGGGCAATACTACTACCTGAATACCCCGACATTGCGAAAAAGCTTTACAGACATGTTTACATCTATGTGTTGACAACTACAAAATCGCAGTAGGCTGAACGTGAGAAAACACATTACTTGAATAACATCACCTTTATTCTTTGAATTTAATATCAACCTATTTATCCTAACACATATAATTTATTACATAAGCTTATTCTGTCTGTACAAGGTGGTCCGACAAAACTTTCGTCAGGCTTTACCGGATCGTCGCCGAAAAAAGGTTGCCGACCATTGCTTCAGGCGACCCAGATTCGAGACGCGACACATAGGTTGGGAAACACTGGTTCACTCAATTGAAGGGATAAATTTTACTTTTTGAATGCCGAAGGGGTAAAAGATAAAAAAAAAATCAAGAACGCCTGTATTAGATAGTCTTATCAGCTTTCCTCTCTCAAATACGCCAGAAAACTTATTTTACAATTAAGATGCAGAAAAGGGGGTGAAAAGCTCTGTAAATTCAGCGTGGGGGTGATTGTTAACCCCATGTTCTAGCATTGACATCATAGTCTCTTGAGAGGGGTATTCCCCTTGCCTTCCATCGGAAGAAAATCCAGCATAAGACAGATTTGACGCAGGAATATCTGCGTGAGAATGTTGCGTTGCGATAACACCTTGGTAGCGATCCAATAAAGCATGGGGGTAATCAGAGCTAGATGGGTCGACAGGATTCCAACCTGGGGCTAGAGTTCCAGTCGGGGTCGTAGAGTAGTGAGAACTCTGGGGTGCAGCGTAGGATACGTTTTGCGGGGGGTAATTTAGCGTCGCGGTAGGGGATTGGATATCTGGAGACTGGCTTGGATTTGAACCTATGATGTAACTTTGCTCTGCTCTTGAGTGTGATGACAGCTGTTCCTCAACGGACCTGTGATTATTTTGATTTTGTTTGACGAGAGAGTAGTTGCTCACGATATATTCAACCTCATTATTATACGGGTTTTGAAAAGCATAAGAGCTCAATCGAAGCCAGATATATTCCGCGTTGTGCGCTTGGAATCTACAAATTGTGGAAAACATTTGTCCTTTCAGTTGCATCACTTGTTTGAAACTCTCTGCAATTTTTTCTGTGTCATCTGGGTGGCAGAAATCGACAGGACGTTTTCCGATTAGGTCTCTCGGTTGATATCCCAGAATATTCGAAACTCTTGCGTCAATATATGTAAAAACGTTATCAAAATTGTGCCTTGAAACGAATTCGGTTATATCATTAGGTGGCGCTAGACTCCCAATCACAGAATTGCTTGGAATTTGAAGTCTTGCGATACCAACTAAACAGTATTCACCATTCAATTGACTTTGTGCGGTCAGCTCGTCCATTATCCCTGCTTGTAATTCATCGCCATTGTAACCACTAGGTGGCCATGGTTTGATATAGCCTGTGACGTGCGTCAGAGCATAAATATTTTCACCTTCCATTATATGACCTTCAGCTAAGCGATATCTCGGTTCTGAAGCGCTAACTTGAAGTTTTCCGCATCGCATGCGACATATAAACGCACGACGTGTTCCTTCGCTTGAAAGCATGGATTCTTTCTTGATAGCTCCTGTTTTGAGATCCAACATCCGTCCAGCGTTTGACGAGTCTTCGATCATCATTTGTTCTTGTACTTTAGCGACATCTTGTGGATGAATTAGGTCATAAATACGATGATTCATCCAATCAGAATGCGCTTGATTTAACACTGGAGTAACAGTATCAGAAACGAATGTAACTTGTCCAGTTTCGCACGATACTACGAAAAGAAATCCATCAGCTGACTCTAACACTAAATGCTTCAATTCTTGATCTGTGAGAAAAGCTGGTTTGTCTAATCCGTTTCCTCCAAGTCCACGTAACTGCTTCATATGCGACACAGCCATTCGCAATATTGTCAGTTTGTCTGGTTTTCGTGCGAGTGCGCTACAACTCGGTACCATGTCCGAAAGTTCAGTGATGTATGCTGTCATTTTGTTTCTGCGTCTGCGTTCGATCTCTGAATGATTTTCACGAGCAAATCGCTCTTTATCTGCTTGTGACATTCTCATTTGGTTAAGGTATTCAATTTACAAGCTATTAATTATATTTGAGAGAATAAAAAAATTGAGATATTTACAGGCCAGCTTAATAACCTAAACAAATCTTATGCGACTAATTAACAGCGTATTTTCCTAAAGTTAAGACAACATTACTTGAGGCTGCTTACTTTCTCTAACACGAACGAATTTTATAAAAAAATTGCTAATTTTCACAGTAAATCGTTAATTTTACAATTCTGAATTCTGAGAATAATTTCCGATTTTGTTTAAATAAAACATTTCAACGCAGGGCGTGGCCAGGGATTTTCAAAAAGGGGTTTCTGGAATTTCTACTTAGACCAGGGTGGTCCAAACCCAGGCCCGCCGGCCACATGTGGCCCGCCACATCATTATCTGTGGCCCGCGTCGCATTCGGAGAGGAATCAAAAAATCGCATTTCGTGTTGTTTTGTCATAAAATTAACCAAAAAATCTTTTGACATATTGTTGCATCACTAATGTCACTAAATTGACTAGTGTTATGGCTTGCTGAGGCAACTAGCAAAGTTAAACGAGCAAAGTTCTTGGCACTATTGTGGCCTGCGAACAATGCAAAAATAATTTTGTGGCCCGCGGAGCTGCCAATCTTGGACAACCCTGACTTGGACCGTAACAGCTTGCGGCAAGCTACGAAAAATTGCTATGAATGATACAAAAAAATGTTTTTTTTCTACGTTTCAAAAGAGGGGAACCTGCAACTTGGTATCACTTTAACAAGATAACTAACTCAATATCACTTTAACAAGATAACAACACTCCGTAAATGCATTAAACTGATGCCTTTCACAAAGTAATGAAAATACTGCAAAGCAAGAAAAATCTACTTCTTCCAACATATACTTATATTTGACAAAAATTTCCCTCAAAAACATTAATCCTAATACAATTATCAAAAATCAAATTTTTCATTTTATTTCCAGTTCCAATTTTTTCATACCTAATTGTTTTAGGGGGTACTAGGATATTGTGTACTGAACTAAAAGTCCTTTCTCCTTGTTTACTTTCTACTTTGGATCCGGATGTGTCAGTTGCCACAAGTATGCTTGAACGAGATAGTATTATGAAGATAAATAAGAATAGCATAGTCTCTTTTCACGATATAGCAAGTATATTTATAAGCTTTCAATATGTAAGCTAATGGTTATCCACCGTTTATTACGCATTATCTTGTTTTGTCTGGAGAAGTTAGACTATGATCTAACGAAAGTTCACAAATATACTTGCTATTTTGTGAAAAGAGCTATCATGCTATTCTTATTTAAATTATTTCAATCTTCCAAATTCTAATCAACCAAATGCAATAGGCCTCCTACCAAAGCCAGTATACACACATTAACAACTTACTGTACTTTCTCGACGGGTAAGCCGAAAATCAATTGCACCCTATATTTGCCCACTGCAAGGTGCTTTAACAGTCGCTTTTCTTAAAGCTAAAGTAATAACAACATTGCAAACAAGAAATTGCCTACTTTTTGTATATTCTCTATCAGCCAGCAGACCTCCAGACTACACGTTTCAAACTGCATAGCAGCCTTTATTTTGAGTTGAGGTATTAACATTGCAAGGAAGAAACTGCCTACTTTCTTTAGGGATCAATCAATGACTCAAAGCATCAACAACATGTTTTCCTGTGTAACTTCCTGTCTTCCAGAACTTGCTAGGGAAGATTAGCTAATGATCTGATGCTTGCAGACTTTTAAGCCTCACACAGGCCATTAATAAATGGACAATGTGACACTACAAGCATAAGGTTCGAACACGACAAGATCTCTTTAAACAGGGCTCTATATAAGAAGTTAATATACTTGAATTGGAAAAAAATTCAAAATAAATTAGTAAAATAAATTAAATTATTTAAATCTTAACAATATGTTGATTGTAAAATCTAGCTTCTAGTCCGACTAAAATTAAAATCAAACATTTACGATTGATCAGACTCGTTTCATATCGTTGCGGAACCCCTGTGCAGTCATCACTGACCCCTGAGGCCTGAGGGTCCGCAAACCCTAGTTTCGGAAACTCTGATCTAATGCATCAGCAACATGCTTTCCAGTGAACTTGCTGCCTCAGATTCCAGAACTTTCTTAGAAAGATTAGCTAATGATCTGTCGCCTGTAAATCGAACGTTTAATACACCGGTTCTCAACCAGTAGGCCATGGAAACATCATAACGTGGACCCCAGAATTAATAAAATTGTTAATTTGATTGCGTCACTATACTTCAATTTTATTTGTAGTGGTGATGAATGCTACCGAGTGGTAATTTTCATTCTAATTATATAAGTGAAAACGACTATTTTTGCAGAAAGATTCTGTTTTTTCTTGTAGTCCCTTGCATAAAAAAGTAATGGGGCACATAATTTTTTTGCAACAAAAATTACCACTAAAGAGAAACCTAGAATGTATGACTTCCATTCTCTATAAATCAAATACATAAACCTTTCTCAAAACAGCCATAGACTAGAAGTTATTTTGCAGTTGCATTATTTATCTGAACATATATAGCTATTTCAAAGCACCACTGATTAGTAACCTTACATTATTTTGCAGACACTTTTACCAATAAGAATGCTTTATTACTAAGATATTTCGTTTTTAGCCTCGAATTGTGAAATTACATATCCTTTCACTTGTATGGTAACTATCACTAGTAACTGTAGAGTGCCCTTAAATCTATAATACAACCCAACGACAACAGACTGGCATTTTTGCAGTCATTCTGCAATCCTATATCTGAATGCTTTGGATATTGAAAGTATTTTGACTTACACATTTGCTTATCCAATTTAGTAAATTTGAATTGTGTCTCTTAATTCATAGAAATATTTTTCATACTTGCATGGTAATTACCGTTTGTCTTACAATATAAAGCAAACAGACCAAAAAAGGCCCTGTAATACAATCTGATTGTCCAATTATTTACTAAATTTGAATTTTCACAGGATTACTATTTTTTATACTTGTACGGTAATAAAATACATATTTTCGGCCTCTAGTCAGCTAAAATCCTATTTAAACATGTATGGCAATACTCTCTATGAATCTAATGTATATAGCTATTTCAAAGCAACATAGACTAGTAACTTTATAAGATTTTGCAGACAGTTCTACCAAATGGAATGCTTTGATATGGAGGTATTTAATTTCCGGCCTCTAATTGTGAAAACACCCATATTTTCACTTGTATGGTAACTATCACTAGTAACTGTAGAGTGCCTACAGTTATTATGCAGTCGCCCTATTTCTCTGAACGCTTTAAATATTAAAACTATTCTCACATTTCCAAATCACCTTCCAGTCTACTAAATTTAACTTTGGCTTCTAAATCACAAGATTACTATTTCCTATACTTGCATGGTAATTACCGCTTGTCTTGCAATATAAAGCAAACTGACCAAAGAAGGGCTCATTATACAATCTAATGCAAATTTCAGCCAAAAATTGGCCGAAATACGTATAAAAACACTCCATGAATCTAATGAATATAGCTATTTTAAAGTGACTTGGTAACTTTTTAGTTTTAGGCATCGAATTGTAAAATTACCTATCTTTATACTTGTATGGTAATTATTATCGTATAAAATAAAGCAATCTGACCAAAGAAAGGCCCATGGAACGTCCAAATTAATGCAAATTTTAGGCCCTGAATTGACAATAATACCTTTTTGTACACGTATGGTATTCACCGCCAGGGAGAAACCACCTTAACAAGGAAGTTCCTGTCATGAGTTATATCGTTTCAGTTAAGACAATGAAAAGCTAATTTTAAATTTTACGTCACGGATGTCATGAGCGCTGTTGCAAATAGAATTTGTGTAATTGACATAAAAGATAGTCTAAAGAAATTGTCTCTATGTCTAAAGAAATTGGTAGGTCGCTAGTACGACACAAAATTTGTCAAACAGCTATTCATTTTTACACAAAGAATAACTTATACAAAGTTTTTTAAAGGCTTAAGTTAAATTACACTCATAGGTGCTCAAAAAGTTGCACTTGAGAGCAGTGTCTTAATTAACTTAGAAGTCCAAGCTCGTTTAAGGTTTCAAAGGTCAAAGGTTAATTTGTAGGATATCATTCCAATTCAACCTATACCTATATGCATTTTATTCATGATCTCATCTGACCATCAAATTTTTTTCTTTTATAGCGACCACCATGTATAATAACACTCAAACACTGTAACACAATTATGTTTCTAGCTTCTAATTAATATTTTGGCTACACCCCAAAACTGAAGAAAAATGATAATTTTATTACAATTCTGGTTGTGTGAAAATGGGTGATATTTCCCAGAAATCCGGTTTTTGTTGAAAATTGTAATATAAAACAGTATAAAAATTTCATTGTAACATAGTCCGGTGCTATTTTTAAGTGTTTTTGGTATTCAAGAGATGTCTTTTTTTAATTCTGTGTGATGAATCTTGACGACATTAATACAAACACATTTTAATAACTTTTCAGCAACCAAAAGTGGGCAGCAGAGAGCATATACGACGCAACATGTTTAAATTTAGAAACATAGAAATGTTGAAATGAACAAAAATTTGATTTGTTCCCTAGTTTTCACAGTTTTCAGAAATCACCGATAGCGTGAGCAATTTTTCTATACCCCCCCCCCCTCTCCCCATTTCCAACTACCTCCAGCTCAGTGGTTCTCACACTTTTCAAGCCATTTTTATAATTTGTCAAGTCTCACGCCCCACCTCAAAAATAACTAGCTAACTATAAGCTACAAATGACTATAGTAAGGAGAAATTGTGTTTCATTCAAAAAATACACCGAAAAATACGTGGATGGAACGCAAATATCCAAAATGAAGAAGTTTAAATATCCATAATGAGGCGGGAAAGACCAAATTTAACAAATATTTTCATCTTTTAATTAGTGTCGCGCCCCCTCGAAAAATTGTCCACGCCCCCTTATGGAGTGCGGCAACCATTTGAGAACCACTACTCGGAACTAATTCAACAATTAATTGGAAATCCAGTCTGGGGCAATTTGAACCATTTTAAGGTAAAGTTCTGGAATCCAGAATACCGAATCCTATTCTATTTTCATACTTATTCAAATAGTGGGAATTTTAATCTAGGTACATGCATGGGCAGAGTCAGAACGTAATGCTGTCCGGAACGTTTATCAACAGGAAACGCTTTAAGGGTTTCTAAGCTTAACATTGGTAAAGAGATTTTGATATACGACACTTACTAAAGGTTTTCTCTTCAAACAAAACTTTTGTCTACAGCCGCATTGTAACTGAGATTACAGAAACAACAAATGAAATGTCCTTTATATTGATTTAAACTACCAGTAACAATATAAGTTGTGAGGGTTCCGTATGGCAGAAGACATTTTTTACAGAACACTCATTCAAGCCTTTCCCTCTATTCAAGGATTTTGCGAACAGCCGCATTGAAACTGAGATTACAGAAACAACAAATGAAGTGTCATTTATATTTATTGGACACGTTTAGTGGACATAACGATCGTTTCAATATTATGTTGTTATTGTTATTATTATTTGTCTCCATCATTTTCAAAAAATCGCTTTTCTCTTCGAATACTGGACCAATTGCTTTGAAATTTACAGTGAGTAAAGATTGATTTTTTTGCCAGAAGGCTATTACTTTTATTTATTTCTAAATTTCGCATGAAATCTGATATTTCGCCTAAAATTTCGCTGTATTATTTTATCCATGGGAACACTGGCTGTCCGGTTTGATTCTGTAAATTATTTCTACGCGAAACTCGGAATTTTTTGTGGGAACCGGTGGCGTCAAAGGTAAATACTGCTTCGCTCTGGTTAACGTGTCCATATATTTGAGCACAGCTCTCTTGTTTAACTAATAAAGTAAGTTGCCAGGGTTTCCTGTGACAGAAGTGATTTTTGCACCAAGTTTTTCCCCTATACAAGTTTTTTGCCAACAACAGCATTGAGTCTCCTAAGCAGATCACAGAAACTACAAATTGAGTGTCATTTATATTTATTTGAACTTTATATATTATCGAAATAATAAATTTATCGACAATTCTTTGAGTGAATTTGAATAAAATTGATGCCATAAAAATTAATTATTATTGAACTGTGTAGAGCAAGGGGGTTATCAAGCAGGGGTAAATTTCTCTTCTTGGGGTCAATTTGGAAGAGAATATTAAGTAGGTTATGATAGCTTTTCCATAAAATGGCAATAAAAAAAAGGGGAACATTGGATTAATTCGATGCTATAAAATTGCCGAGGTGTTGATACCAAGAAAAATATTGAAATTTTGGACAATTCAGTAGAGCCAGTAAAAATAATATCGATCTAATAAGATTGTCAATATACAGGGGTGAATGTCCCACAGATGCATTTGTGTGAACCATATTGTATTAATTAATGAGTTATGAAATTGAATAATCAAATTCCGCGGATAGATGGAGTGGTGGTTGATGGGTACTTAATAGTTTCTGCACAAAAATGAAAATAAATAGGGGGAACACTGGATTAATTCGATGTTAACAAATCGCAAAAAAATTGATAAAAAAATGCGAATACTGATATTTTGTGAAATTGAGTGTAACATTGAGAAAACAGGCAGTTTGTGCTCAACATAACTCTATCTAATAAGTTTAAAATATTATCAGTTTTGCTAGCAAAACCGGACTTGCTAGCTGTTATGGTCCAACTTAGCAATTAGAAAATTCAGAATCCCCCCTTTTGAGAATTGCTGGCTGCGCCCCTGATCAAACACAACAGTTTAAAATCTGGTGCATCAAGATTTCGATCCTGAAAAGTAATTTAGTAAAACCTTCTCCAGCCAATTTATTGCTAAAAATGAAGAATATTTGAATATTTTTTGCGCCATTTAACCATTTGCACTTAGCATCAACTTTTGTCTGAATTATAATTAAATTATAGGCTCAATAAATGAGTAATTGTGAATTATATACTTGTTACGTTATAATATAATTTAGTCTAACGTAAATTCTTTTGCGTAAACAATATAATCGACAAAACAGCTATAATTTGTTACTATAATTCAGTGAAGCGTCGCGGGCCGGATTATATCCCTCCGTAGGGGCCGTAGGTTGCCGACCCCTGGTCTAAAGTATTCGCAGGTATTATGGCAGTACTGCTATAGTTAAAACCCAAAGTTTGATTTTTACATTCCGTACAGTTAATTAATAGATAGGATTTAAGAATTTTATGACTTCAAGTAAGAGTTGAAATACACGAATGAAATTTTTAGTTTTCCGAATATCACGAAAAGATATCAAGAAGAAAATTTTCAAATTTGCAGCGTGATAACAACATTCTGAATGGAGCAAAAAAGAAATAAAGATTGAGAAAGTGCAGGATAGTTCTAGAGTGAATTAATATGCTGAGTTAAATAGCATGCAACACAATGCTTTTGCGTAAAGATTTTTTCAAGAAAAGTTTCATTCGAACGAGTGCGGTTGTCGATAGCGATGTTCTGATTCTTTAATCCGGACCAGTTTCTGGTTTTGCATCTTCTCTTTTTGGTTCTGCTTCACCGGTCTCTCCTTTTTCAGTTGCCGTATCACTGCTTTCTTGTTTCGCTCCATCGCCATTTTGATCACTGACATCAGATTGTCCTTTTTGTTCTGCATCATTGATCTCTCCTTTTTGCTTTTCCGCATCACTGCTCTCTCCTTTTTGTTCCACATCATTGCTCTCCTCTTTTTGTTGCACTTTATCACTTTCTGCAGATTGTTCTGCGTTATCGGTCTCTTCTTTCAGATTATCTTCTATTTTTTCACCATTATCTCCTGCTTTGACCTTTTGACCTTGATCAGTGTCATTTCCAAGGCCATTCTCTTCAGTTTTAACAACATTTCCAACGTTTGGATCATTTTCCTTGTTTTCTGCGGCTTCCAAGTCAACCTTTTTCATGTTTCCTTTTTCCTGTTATTTTTCAGAGAAGAGAAGGAATAGGATAGAAAGGGAAAGGAAGAAAAGAAAAGATAAGAAGAAAAGATAGGATTTACAATTTCATTCCGGGGGGGAGGAAAGCCGCTAAGACCGCTCCCAATTACCAGTCGAAGTCAGGTATGGGATTAGTTGAGTGATTGTCAAATTTTTTTATTAAGCCGCAATTTGGCTATTTTTGGAATTTGAAAGTCTCGTACCCCACCTCAAAAATAATTACGGTAACTAACGATAAGCTACAGTCTTACAGATAACAGATAGTAAGGCGAAAGTATGTTTTTATTAAAAATACATTTCATTCAATATATGTGCATGGAATCGCAATCTCTAAACAGTAAAAAAATGTAAATATCTAACTGGTTGTGCAAATGGGCCCACGGAGAAATAACAATTTTAAATGAGGTGTCCACAAAATGAGTATTTAGTTTAGGTAATCTGGTACGTGCGAGAAATTCTAATCCTTCTGCGCCACAAAGCCAGCTAGCAAAAGTTTGTTGCCAACAATACGATATAGCCTATATTACAAAAACGAGTTGCTCACTGAATTGGATTAAAGTCGGTGTGGCGATAAATTTAAATAGCAGTTTCTTCAGAAGTTTATGCGTTTTACCCACTATTTCTGAAAGAAACCCTAACAATGCCGTAAGGTGACTAGCAAAAATAAACAATTTTTGTGCTTGTAACTACTAGAATGTATATATTGAATTAAGGTGCGGCCTGTGGCTTCACTCAGTAACTCAATTTGGCCCGCTAGTGAAAAAGAGGTAGTTTGCAGAGTTTTTTGCAACATTCACAGATTTTTTTAATTTACAAGAGTTTATATACCATAATAATTTTCCTGGCAGGCGCGAAATTTCATATGATTCAAATTTATTCCAAATTTTGCTCTAGAAAAGTACCTATATATATTTAAATAAATAAAGTAATAAAATATTTAATGTTCCTTATGAAGTCAACGAATTAGATGAACAGCCATTTGCATGTTATAATTATAGTATATTTTTTGTTGAAAATTGTAATATAAAACAGTATAGAAATTTCATTGTAAAATAGTCTGGTGCTATTTTTAAGTGTTTTTGGTATTCAAGAGATTTTTAATTCTGTATGATAAATCTTGACACATTAATACAAACACATTTTAATAACTTTTCAGCAACCAAAAGTGGGCAGCAGAGAGCATATACGAGTCAACAAGTTTAAATTTGGAAATATAGAAATGTTGAGATAAACAAAGATTTGATTTGTTCCAGAGTTTCCACAGTTTTCAGAAATCACCTAACGTGATAACAATTTTTCTATATCTCCCTATACATTCTATACTATAACATATGGTAGTTGAAATAACCATATTAATTCAGTTGCATTACTAAAACTAGTAGGCATATGCTACTGTTGTGTTAGCCGTGCCCAAGTGGGGAGGCGGAAATAAGAGTTTGTATAAACAGGTACGTAGCCAGGTGCTGGAAACCCCCCTTTTAGAATGCAGAAAAAAAAAATTCTCCATCATACATAGCAATTTTTCAGATCTTGCAAGGCTTTTTAGACCCTTAAAAAGACTTGTGAGAACCTACATTTTCCGGCCTACACCCGCTAGTTCTTACGATTTAACTTGGCAATTGGAAATTTCTTCTCTCCCGTTTAAAAATTCCTGGCTACTCCCCTGTCACTAGACAGCACAGTTTACGATTTCTTGTGTTTTACATGATCCACAGTTTCAGAGATAAGTTTATGACACAACAGCCAATCATAGGATATGATATACATGTGATACATACCAAATTTATAATTAAAGCAAAACAGAAACTAAAACATCAACACAAAAAGCCCAACATAAGTTCGAGAGGTGCTTGAGTAATCAAATTTAAAATTACCGGTAATAATTTATTTAATAAAACCATAATGATAAATGATTACCGCAATTTTTTTTAATAATATCACTCGTAATTTAAAAAACTAAAAAAATACCGAAAAGCCTGACTCAGTTTTAGTGCAAGAGGTTCTAAAGCAGTGGTTCTCAAACATTTTGAGTCGCGGCCTCTTTTTCGAATTTGTCAAGTTTCGCACCCCACCTCAAAAATAACTAGCTAACAATAAGCTACAAATACGAAATAGTGAGGTGAAAGTATGTTGCATTCAAAAAACATGTTAAAAATAGTGGATGGAACTTGAATAATGAAAAAATGTTGAAATGTAAATATCCAGAATAATGTGGGAAGATTGTATCTAACAAATATTTTTATTTTTATTCAGATTCATTGTCTATGCCTCCTTGCCTTACAAGTTCACAAATGGTGCCTGAATTTATAAAAAAAAGCCGTCAATACTAACCCTAACCATTCGGCGCTGCAGAAGTGTGTACCAATATGGAGGTATCTAATTTTGTTCGCCTATTTTACATCAAGTTGTGTAAAGGAACTTAAACCTATGGCAGGGGGTATATTCACTTGGCTAACACAGACAGTCCCCAACTCTTTTAATAAGAAACTGAAATATGTAAAATCAGAATAAAATTGCGCCCGAACCAGGTACACACACTACAGGAGTACCGCACCAAATATGTAACATTTTACCTTTTCTGAAGGTGGAACTTTGAAGAAAGTATTCAGCAGTTCCATTTCCCTTGCTTCGAAGAACATTGTGTAATCCTACAGAGGAAGAAAAAAAGATTGGTTATAAAAAAAGAGATTGGTTATAAAAAAAATCCCAGCGGTTACAGCTTTAGCCCTAACTATTTTTGTTAATGATTTTAAAAACTTCAGTTCAGAAATTACAGACCTTTCATTTACGAACCTGGACGGACATGGACTGGTAATTAGGCAACAGGCAGTAGGTTTCCTATAAAGACAAAAGAGCTACGCCCAAATAAATGGACACGTCTGTTCGCAGTACAGTATACAGTTTACCGTACCGTCAGATCACAGTCTACAAATATATCCACACCAAACGAAGCAGTACAGTCGGACACAAAATGGCGTCCGATGTCCGCAGAACGTTCAGTGACGTCATAGCGAACAAAAACAAATCTCACAGAGCTAACAGAATTATTTAAAATAAATAAAAGTAATAGCCTAATGGAGAAAAATTTCATCTTCAACCACTAAAAATTTCGAAGCAATTGGTCCAGTAATCAAAGAGAAAAGCGATTTTTTACATTTTCCACTAGGTGTCCAAAAATTGTCAAAGAACAACAAGAACGAGAACAACAAAACGATCGTTATGTCCACTGAACGTGTCCAATAAGATTTACATATTCATCTCGGGGAAAGGAAAGCCTATAAGAAGGCTTGGTCATACGGCGAACCACGGCCTCTCGTCCAGTTACAAGTTCAGGTCGGTATCGGATTAGTTAGCCGTTTATTTGTTTTCGGAAGCATGGACTTGACGGTGGAGGAAGTCGTACCATGAAAATATTTTGTGTGGCTGTCTGAAGTTGGTTATATGGTCCACCGACAAAAAATGTTGCTGTTTTAAAATATTGCAAAAGCAGCCTTCTTACCCCACAGTATTCGTCCTCATTGAAGACTTGTGGTGCAAGTGCTTTATTAGAGTCGTTGTATTTTGTCACTTCTGCTGGAATTTTCGATCTCATTACCTAAAATAATGCAAAATGTTAAAAATGATTGGAATTATTGTTCAACATGACAGCTATTTAAACCTTTCGCTCCAGACAAAAGCACAGAAGATAGGATTTTCGTATTATTCTAGAGAGAGGAAATCTGATAAGACGGCTTATTCATATGACGTACTAAGATCTATTGTCCAGTTACCAGTCCATGTTGCATATGGGATTAGTTGGTCAGTTTTTAATTTTTAGATGCATGGATTTGATTTTGGAGGATTAGTTATGTGAACCACCCTGCAATGCAATGGGTCCAGCAATACTCTCATACATTATTAACCCCATGTGAGATTCGAACCTGCAAACCCACGCAGGGTAATCAGAGGTGTGATGGCGAAGAGTCCAGCAATCCCCTAGCACATATTTATTTTCAAGATGAAGTCAGGTGTCGATTGCATATTTTTCCTGGCTCCACAGCCTTATATATAGGCTAAAAAAATGGCGCTCCTGTAGTATGTGAACCAAGATGTCGGACACCTGAACATAGTATGTGCACCAGGTTAGGCCATAATCTCATTCCAATATTCCTTATTTTAGTTCTATTAAGAGTTCAGGGACTAGCCAAGTGACTCCCATAGTATTTGTTCCTGAAATTATGGCCTAACCCTGACCTGGTACACATACTACGTGCCGTGTCCGCCATCTTGGCTCACATACTACGGGAGTACCAAAAAAACACCACCATACTCACATCTTTCGCGTCAGTCTGCGCACAGAGGTCAATTTCTTCAAATTTCATGTCCTTGGATTTCAAATAATCCAAAATTGCTTGTTGCTCTTTCCTCATCTAAAAAAACATGAGAATGTGGAATTCAATATTGAATTAAAGTCAAAATATTAGTTGAATACTAGAAAAGCATCAGGTCGGCTAAACTTTGTACACAGTCCTTTGTTTCGAAAAAGGGACATATTCAAGAGGCCACTGACATCTCACAATGGATGTTTCCTCGAGCATAAGCTAACAAAGACGTAACAATTAGGATTTAAGCTGCCTTACAGACACTTCTTTCGCTCAGATAGATATTCAAGCGTGATTGTAAACATTGCCTCTTTGTGCATTGTGAGCCAATTCGTGCATTGTGGTCTCCATGGGAGGATGACAGGCAGTGGTGGGATTCAAATTTTTTTTCAGCCGGTTTCTTCACAAAAGTCATATTTTTCAGCCGGTTCTGTTACAAACAGAACATTGACAGTAACCAGTAAAGCTAACCGGTTCGCTGATCTCATAAAATTCTGTGAGACGGTTCTATAAAACCGGTGCGAACCGGCTGACAGGCCCCCAGATGGGAACCGCAGGTTTAGATACCCCAGTTCTAAACTTCTAACTCAACAAGTTTCTTACCTTAGTGCTGCCTGCAGCTGAAGAAGTGTAGATATAAATCATGACTAAGTCGAGAGTTCCAAGATATTTGACAGTAAATTTAACAGAGGTAGTAAAGTACTATAACGATACTTATTTATATTCTGTGAAAAGGATGTTCTAAAACATAGAAAAGAAAATAGCACTGTCAAATATGGCAAGGCATGAGAATAGTATTGAAGTTTTGACTGAAATTTGGGAAGGAGTGAATTAAAAGGATGCCGAAATATAATTTCTGGAAAGACCGGACCCAAATATTTTTAAAGTTTTGTATGCGAATCTTGGGTAAAAATAGTTGATTAGCCCTGCTCTAGAAATATAACGACACTTATTTATAATCTGTAAGAATGTTCTATCTAAACACAAAACAGAAAGTAGCACTGTAAAAACATGCCAAGATCTTCTGTGTGGGATGACGTCAGGCTGAATAAGAATTTAAAACCCAGAGAGAAAAATGGCACTGTGACGTCTAGTCTGGTACTAGTTATGGAAAAAATTATAACAATGTCACTTCCAAATTGATGTTCCAAAATACAAAACAGAAATATATCCAGAATGAAAGTATTGTTGAACTTTGCACAGAGCAAAAAAAACTTTCTGTTCAGACCGGCCAAGTATACTAGATTGAAGGAAAAAATCAGTAAATATCGGTTTACTCAATTCTCATAATTTGAATACAAAAACACAACTTTTTTGCCTAGCAGTGGTATGTCCAATCTTTCAATAATAACTTTTACACCACACAACAAAAAAACAGCGCCATCAAAGTATCTAGTATCAATATTTTAACTAAAATTTGACCAAAAGTGACTAAAATTTTGACACAATAACAAACTTTTGCTTAGTAATAGTGGTACACCTAATCTTTTTTAAAACTGAGTACAGTACAGTCAATACATGTCTAGGAATGGGGACATTGGATACACGATATCCCAGTGCCCTTTGTATGGAAAAAATTCAATTGCGCTGTGCATGATAAATTTTATAAGCTCTGCTTTTTCATCCATTGCTCTATATTTGATTTACCCACAAATTCCAAAAGTTTACTGTTTTTAAATATGAGTAAAGCGTGAATTTCTTGATTTTTGAACTTTAGCTTTTTATTGAAAAACTTTGATAAATATAGTTTCATATTTTGATGAGATAACCTGTTAAATTTTTTCCAAATATCTGGGAACCCCTCAAATTCTAATACCAATAAAACTCGTTTTCCATTGTTTCAACATTAAATTGTTTCTCTAATTCCTGTTCTACAGTGGATATTGAAGGTGTAAATGTTCTTTTCAAAGCATCATCTACATTTGTGTCTTTAGACTGTTCCAAGTATTCGCATTTTAAAGTTCTATCAGCCAGCATTTCCAAGGGTATTGTAATTACGTGCCCAGAACGTACAGAAACTCTAACTAAATCTCCTTTTTCGTTTGCTTTAAATTCTATGTCGGTTTTTTCATTATCGACAGGGTCAAGGAGAGCGACTTCGTCATGTTCTAGTGGTTGCTCTTCAGCGTGTACCTCATTCGATTCTGTTTGCCTGTATTTAAAATTGCGACCACCGACAACAACCCAATTTCTCTGGGGCACAATCATGACAACTTCACCCTTTTTTCCTTTATCTTTTCCGGCAAGGATTTCAACTTTATCGCCGACATGGAAAAGCCATTTATCCGGCGGCGTATATTTAATTTTATCATAATTATGCCTGTACCAATTAATATGTTCCTTAGCACGAATTTTTCTTTGCTCCATCGGAGAATATGGCGAATCCATTGTCCATTTGTAATAATATGGTGGTTCCACATACGTTGATTTATAGTCTCGCCATTTTACTTGTCCATGTTTTATATGCTTGTAACTCTCTGGTATAGCGTATTCACTAATATGCTGAGGGAAAGGTCTTCTTCTTGCTAAAAGCATTAGACACAGGCGGACCATTGTCAAAGATCTTCTTCAAAAAATATTTAATTGTAATAACTGTAAAACAGGAACAAAAATGCGATTTCAAAGTTGATAGATTTTTCTAATCAAGTACTTTTGGGCTTAACGAACTTTCCACCCAAAAGATATTCTGCCCCAATAGTACTATGGGACCAATTGGTGATAGAAGACGGATTATGCACAAATGTCCCATACATTCACATATATTTATATACCTGTATACTACTATTATTTTTAGAGCTAACACACAATCCATTCTGATTACCTGGTACGCCCATATTATTTAAAAAGGGAACGGCATTTAGTGAACTTGCACTCAAAAGTTTGTCTTTTGTAGTCTACTAGAGCATGAAGTAAACTAGACCGTTATGCTGAGTATGAGTTTCCTACCAATGTCAAAATGTGATAGAACTGTAGAACACTGACCGATTGCTCAAAATCTGAAAATAGTTTCAAATTAATGTGAATTCTGCAATTCTCTGTTTGCTAACTTTTACGCCTATACAGCTATAATTAGGAATGTTACAAAACGCGCTTTTTCGCGCCAAAAAATGTACGCACCACGTCTGCTAAGTACCGTAACGCCGTGTCAGAATACCGCTCATAAAAAACGACTACGGACTGCCTGCTGTTGCTTGGAATTCCATGAAATTTGGACATAACTTAGATAAAATGCGCAACTATGATTTGGTATTTGAATTTTTTCATTAGCGCATAAATTTCCCAACATTCGGGGCTTTTAAAAATTACGCTAAAGTTATACGTACTGCAAATTAATGATATTGTCTATGGACACCAATAAAATATATATGGACGCATGTATGTCATTCCTAACTTGATACTTACCAATTTTTATGAAGTTTGTTCAATCAGAACATCGTTAATTATTACCCGCAACGAGGCACTGTCAAACTAATATGCTCAACTCCAGGGTTGATTTGCGACGATCTTCCGACGGCCTCAATGATTGTTGCCAGAATAAAATCCTAAAGTAATCTGAATTTTCTTAGATGTGACGTACATCAAAAAATTAAAGATTGATATGTGTTTTTTTTTCATATTTATTAAAGTTCTTATTGAAAAAAGTCAATTCGCATACGTTTACGAAACGGTACAAATTAATTCAAGGCACGAGAAGTATGATCTTAGCACGCGTCTGTCAACGCGCATCAGTTATCGACTGAATGCCGACATTTTCCCTCGCAGCGATTTCTCTCGTTTTGCGTTCCACTAAGCGCGGTAAATCTCCTACGAGTTAAGGAATATTAAATGATAATTAATCGTTCACTAAGGTCGGATATGAAAAACGCTAAATCAGTTAATTGCCGCGTATGCGGGGACTTGCGTATCGGGAAAGTCGTTGCCGACCAGAGGTTATGTAAAGTTCAGAAACTTTCTCTTACATAATTAATTGAAAAGCAGCTAATATCGTTAAAAAGAATTTGTAAACTTTTTTGCATTAGGTTCTTCTATTCACAATAACTTTTCGTTCAAACTTTTTTTCGATTACCTCCAAAAATAGCCGAGATACATTCTGTTGTTTATCGGTCTGACATTCTCGCGGTCACAGTTTTTGAGTCGGCGCAATACAATCCTTATGGAAAAAATTGGCCTATCGGGCGGTACTCAAATGCAGATATCTCCGTTAATTCTTGACCATTTTTCGCAAACTTGGTATTGTTTTCTTATTTTCACTTAGATCTATCCACTGGTGCAGTTTTTATTTAAATCGGATGAACTTTAATTTTTTTGTAACATACTCACTATAATATATAACTTAATATCTATCAGTGTATGGCATGAACTCAAGTTAAAATATTTAGCATTTTTAATTTTTGTTGTTCTGGGCCTATAAAATTAATAATTTCGGAATTTAGTCTTTTCTTGTTTCTTATTTCAATGCTCTTGCATGCATGTTTTTTCTCATATATGCTACATTATTTTTCTTTTTAACCTATTAGTTAGCTCCTAAATATTATAAATAACCGAATAATCGCACCCAATACTGCCAAGCGACAAGGAAATATACGGTACTCTGACCGCACCGGTACTTCGGTTCGCCGCCATTCTGCCATTGCCTGATTACCGGTACCTACCGGTACCGGTACAGGATTATAATACCCATACCGGTACCTGCATACCGTAACGTCTGAACGTACTGACTGAAAACCAATTACTGCCTTTACTAATGTCCTTTTCATATATTGCAAAATATAATCCAAATGAAACTCGGCCGTACCGATATAGTTACAGTACCAACACACTCAATTCAACAATTTATACAACTCCAACATCGAAATATCTGGAATTCCAAAGACTGAAAGCAGACATCCTGACAGAAATGCAAAATAAAGCAGACGCACCCACGCACTTGATTGACAGCCGAAAATGTAGCAAATGTGTAATGGAGCGTATCAATCGGAATTCTGAACTATGGAACTTAACTTACCCCGAGCATCGACTTCCTTGTTTACTTCGTGCCATTGGCCAATTAGCAAGCTGCAAAAAGTGACGGGGGAAGGAGGTCAATTTTTGTCTTGTCATTTTTGTACCATAGAGGAATCCAAAAAAAATTCCTGAACTCATATGACGTTAAGTTCCGTCGCGACAACACAGTTCGACCGCAATGACGTCATCGGAGTCTAGCTTTCCCAATCAAATTACGTCACAGATCATTAAAATAACCTTGTGTTCTATTGCATTCAGTTAATTACGTTAATCAATACAAAGTATATATGCATCAGGAAATGGGTATGATATATGACAAACGCAATGTCTAAAAACGCCAGTTTTCATGGCGCGAATTTATCTCGCCGCCGTAGAGTGGTTCACGGTTACGCATTCCTCCCCCATCAGATCCATGCTTTCAAAAACAAATAACTGCCAAAGTAATCCCATGCCGGACATGGACTGGTAACCGGACGAGAGGCCGTGGTTCGCCATACGGGTAAACCTCTTTAACGGCTTTCCTCTCCCTCGGGATAAATATGAAAATCCTATTCCACTAGCGCTGGCTCGCTGCAATGGGATTCTAAACTTTGACTCGACAGGACCAGTACAGTGATTTTCAACCAGCGTTCCGCGGAATACTGGTATTCCATGAAAGATTTTCAGGTGTTCCTCGTCAAATTATTGCTCAAATTATTGGACAAGCAGACAAGCATTTTATGATATAAAATAGTACAAATTAAGAAGAAACGATCACTTATTTGGTTTCAAGACGAGTGTATGCAATTCAAGAGTCCTGCTGGCTGTACAATAGCACAAATTTGTTTCTGTAACGTTTCGTCTGACCAAAATCAGACTTCACACAAGCAGAACAATCCTTTTTTTAGTTTTTATGACGCCACAGCAAAAATTTAATTATCATAAACGTTTGTCAGTAGTAAGCATTTTGTCAGCGATATCACGGCGAGTACAGAATTATATCATTACTCTTGGTATGGCGGATAGATGTTTGAGAGAACCCTTATTTTATATTTTGAATCCCGTAACTGCTAATACTTACTGTGAGAAAAGCCGTTTTCGCCATATGATTAATTTGTGATAATTTTGGCTCGGCGGTGTGGCGCATCGTGTTAAGCGTTAGGAATACGCTTGCCACCGCACCTCTGGTTACCCTGAGTTCGCAGGTTCGAATCCCATGATAGTATGTATAGTTATTAATTGCTAGACTCCTCGCCGCCGTAGAGTGATTCACGTAACCGCTGGTCGACTTCCATCATCAAGTTCATGCTTTCGAAAACAAATAATTGGCTAACTAATCCCATGCCCGACATGAGGTCCAGATTGTAACGTACTATATACCCATGGTTTAGAACTGTTTTATTGAGCTCAATACAAAAAAGGACCTATTTTTTAAAACTTCGAATTCCATCACCGCCAGCTGATTACCTATTGGACGAGAGGGCGTTTTCCGCTATATGATTAAGCCGCCTCACGGGAATTTTTATGATATTTTTGATTGGCAGAGGTGTGGAATCAGGACCGATTTAAATCAAAAGGAAATCTCCTTTGTTTGCTTCCTGCAAATCGCAATTTTTGGAGTGAACATTAACTGCCTGTCTAGATCACGGTACTCAACCTTTTTACTTTGTAGACCAAGTTTGTTTCACAAACAAATCTGTGACCCATTAACTTTCCTATGCAAGGTGAAACTACAAGAAAAAACGAAAAACTCATTTCGCAAAAATGCAACTTAATAATAATTAAAATGAGAATTACCACACAACAGTATCATCATTTACTGCTACTACAATCTAAGATAACTAATTTGTCAATATTTAAAATGTTTGTGGCCAACCTAACAATGTTTCTGAAACCTTTAATGCAGGAAGGACAGATACAAATACCCGCGGGCCGCACCTTTATTTAACATAGGCTTTCTAGTAGTTACAGGCACAAGATTTTGTTAATTGATCTTATCACATGCGTTGTTCGCTTCGTACAAGCTGGCTGATAGTGGATTGTAACGTCCTAGGCATAGAGGATAAATTGGACTCAGGTGTACGATTTGCAACGCAAAGATATTTGAACAAAATCAAAAACTAGTTTCACCGGCGCACCATTTTCCCTTGTGGTCCACAGGTTGCACGCAAATGGTCTAGCTAGACTTAACCAACCGCTACCGTCAACCCCGAATAAAACCAAATTCAGTCCCGTCAGATAGCCGAGTTTCCAGTATCAGACTAGATGAAAGCCGATTAAAATTTGAGCATGGTCAGATTTTCCCCTGTGAGTGGTTTAAGGACCCTCCGCTGATTCCATGGTAAAGGAAACCCCATTTAGCACAACTCACATCTTCAAACATTCCACTTTATAATATTAGATTTAATGAAACTTTTTCGCACGATTCTTGTTTAATAATAAAAGACGAATAAAATAATGCACATGAAAACAATATCTCGCAACCTTAGACAAGCGAAAATAATAAAATATAAAAACACAAAATCACGCTAGAATATGAAACCTGTTTCTGTACCACTGATACCAGGTAACCATGTCAACCGTCACACATCAATAAAGATAGATAAAGTGTCCAGTTGAACTGAAGTAAATACTTGAACTTGTGACAAACGCAACAGTCCAAACTATTTCGTTACAAAGAGATCGTGGAAGCTTTTGCAGCAAGTTCCGATACCAACGGGCATTTAATTTCATCAATCTGTGAGACGCGGAAGGCTTTTTGGCTTGAATATTTATTGCGAATGGCATTCAAATATGTACTGGTTTCAGCAGCTTTTAAATTCTTTGCTAAATGGCATACGACCGAGGCGATCTCTTTGTATGAGTATCGACTGTAGTGTTGTAAAGTAGGGGTCCAGTCATCGCCACCGATCAGTTTCGTTGATAGGCAAAGAGCAGCGGCGGCGAGTTGTGAAGGTGGTACGTGGCACATCTCGTAATCAACCATCGCTAATTCCATCAGGTATTTCGCCAGAGCATGCTGGTTGGCATCGACATTTCCTGCTTTTGAATTGCGTCTCAGGAAATGCAACGGTAATGGACGTCCGAGATTAAACCCAAGGGTTTTCAGCATTAAAATCTCCATCTGCAAGATCTGGGTTCTTGTAAAAGCTTGGTCGGTGATATAGACGAAATCGCTCACTTCGGGCGCGTACATTTCTTCATATTTTGACGCCAACAACATCGCGGTAACACCAGCAAGTTGCAGTTTTGTGCGAACGACTGGGTGAATTTGTAGAAATCTGTCCAAAATCGCAATTGTCAAGTAGAGAGTTTCCTGTAGAAGTCCGAATCTGTGATGGACCTGAAACATTGAGTACAGATTAAAGACTTCACTGCTGAAACCTTACGTCGGGGACTAGCATACACAATCCGATTCAATATACGTGGATATAATAAAACTTGGTCATTACTTGAAATGTTTGTATTGATATTTATTTTAGGTTTGCACTACAATGATCATAATAAGCGAAATAATGTTAATTAAGTTAAGAACCTGAGACAGTCGAAAAGCGACGCACGCGTGGCGGGGTAATCAAGCCCATTTCTCTATACATGAAGAACAATATGTCAATTTCCGAAACCAGTCGAACAGTGAAGCACGCATAATATAACTTGAGCGAAAGATTGTCGATTACGAAACCCTGTAATAATCTGAAAATCGACGAACGCATGATAATACAACTCAAGCGAAAGAATGTCGATTACAAAAACCTGCCACAATCAGAAAAGCGACGAAAGCATGGCGGGGTAATCAATCCTACATCTCTTTCCGTGAACAAACTTGTTGTCATGCAATCGTAATTGAGCACTAACACGCCCGACCGATAAACACGTCCGCGTGGCACTTGCGTTATTAGTCCTTGGTAATTTAAAAGAAAATAAACAAACCAATTAAGATTTAGGTATCAGTCATATAATATATAGCTACCGGATTTCCATTTTATATCTATAACATTAACTGCAGAATTATGTTGATTTCAATTTGATAATTACCTGTTGAAATATATCCAGCAAGGCAGGTTAATTACAATATTTTGGCCAAGATCTATATACAACTCACATTATTAAATTCGACCGCCGACGCAATTGGGTGTTATGCATTTAAATAGAAACACGAACAAGAGGGCCGCCGCGAACTCTTGCACAATCAAAAAAGAAGCGACACAAAGAAATGCCAGAATGTAGCGGACATTTAAAAAACGTTAAACTTAAAAGAAATCGTACACGTCGATGAGAGACCGCGTTTGTCGCGCACAAACTTAAATATAGAAAATAACAAACGAAATATGCTAACCTGGATAAGCCAATCCACTAGGATCGAGCGCATTCGCGACTTCAACGACGTTTCTTTCAGATAATGCTTCTTGACTGGGTATTCGGCTTCAAGGTGCAACATATACTGGTAGATCTGGTTCACAAATTCAGAGCAAAGTTGTGGGTTTTCATAGTCATCTTCATCGATGTTGTGAACATCTGGCTTGCTTGTTCGATCGAAAACGTCTTCCTGTGTAGCTACCGGAACTTTGTTTGGGGTTCCCATTTCCATAGGTGCATGTTCCGGATCTGAAACTTGCTTTTTAGTGGCATTTTGTGTCGATTTGGGCTTTAAAGTTGCTTGCTGTCTCGTTGAAGGCTTCTTAATTTCTCGTTTGGCTGTTGGAGCTTTGTTGTCGACCCTTTGGTTGGTAACAGTACCAAGAGCATGTCTTGTCACAGGTGCAGCTGTACGTTTCTTCGTAACTGCAACCGATTTGCCTCTGACTGGATTCTCTTGGTCGACACGAGACAAAACATTAGCACGAGTAGTAAGGGTAGCCATCTTCGAATCGCAGCGTTACACACGGTCACGGTAAACAAAATTGAAGCAGAGACAGTTAATCGTAGTAAACGGTTTTCTTTTAGTCGAGCAGTCTTTTCTTGAGCAGTAACAACTTAAAATATAACTTCGAAGCAGGAGAACAAAAGTAGACCAACTTACTCCGAGGCAACTTAAGAATGAATGATGGTACATACGATGGAACGTACCAGAGTGACTTTCGACTCTTGGGCAACACCGAGTGGTCACCTTGAAGGACATCATGTCGACGTGGTAGAGCATTTTACTGCCAGGTATTGCACGGAGACAAATCATTCAATATCCGAAGTTGACGTAACGAATCTCATTATTTGACTAACTAAACTATAAGATGCAGGTAAATCTGATTTAGAACGTAACAAAAAGATTCCATCATCTTGATTAAAACAAGAACCCGTACATAATAAGTGTAAGTTTATTTTGACTCCGTAATTATAGAGTTATTATGATCAATATATAAAAGACGATAAAATTAAAAAAAACAAATAAATAAAACTGATTACAGCAATGCAAACAAAACCTTGAATAAGGTTTAAAACGTACAGATTTTAGATTGAAAGGTGTTGTCAAAAGAAGTGGTTCGTATTAGCTCAACCAAACGTATCAAATTAATTAAAACCCGCTCACACTTACATACAACCATGCAAACAAAATATAATTTGAAGAGAAAAAAAAAGAAATATAAGATATATTACGTGATAAAAAAAGAAAAATATACAAACAAAATAAAAAACAAAAAATAAAATTTTGCCACACAATGTTGATAATTTTGAAAGAATTGTCAGATAATCATCTCCCGCAGGATTCGAACCCACGCAGGACTATCAACAATCAGTGGTACATTGTCAGGCGACCTATCATTCTTTATTTACACTTGTAAACCGCAGCAATCGCCATCACATGCTCCGTCGTATTCTGTCAGGACAAGATATGTAGGTTTAATCAGTTACTATGCGAGTATATATTTTGTTGTAAACAGAATACCGATGCCGTGGTACAAATATTGTACATGACTACATGAGTTTTAAACTTTTGTTCTTCCATCGTCCGAGATAAAGTATTCGCCTGGGTGCATACACCAGACATTTTATGAGAATTTGTTTAAAACAGGGTCACGCGCACTCAAGTATCGGGAACTCACCTATGCGCAAGTTAAAGCGGCCATTCAAATTGCAAGGGCTGTTTGCTCGACGGTCTGGCGCATCGTGATAAGCGTTAGGAATACGGTTGACGTCTCACCTCTGATTACCCTATGTGGTTTTGAACATGTGAACCTCCGTGGTTTTGAACCCGTGAACCTCCGCAGGGTAATCAGCGAGCGTTTTCCCAGCGCTAGCACGATGCGCCACACACTGCGATATAAGGGACTACTGGTTTTGAAAGGACTGGAATCCTTCCGGGTTCATTACTTTCTTTGTGACCTTTGATATTACCATTTAATCTTGAAAGCGTTTAATTCAGGATTACTCAAATCAATACAGATTATAGTGCATTAGTTTATTGCATCACAATATGGGGAAATCGGCTTATGAAATAATAATCGTAACAGCGGTGTCAAATTCAAGGGTGAGCATTTAAATTATTGAATTTCGACACTGCCGTAAGCTTTAAGTTTAAAAAGTCGGCGTCCATTTCTTTTCGCGGGCAGGGTGTGTTATTTGTTTTTACTTGAAGTGTATATGAGCGCCATCTATAGGGTAACCATATTTTTGTGATCTCGAAGCGGGACGCATCCAAACACCACACGTGTGATTTTTTCAACTTTAAATTTACCGATTTTACATTAGGGGCCTACGATTGAAACCATCCAGTCTGTTTTCATTGACCATATTATCATTGAGAGTTCATGCGCTGTCTGTCTGAATATCCGTTTCAGTTCGAAAAATAGAAAGGAATTTACGTTAACGTTAAGCACGCTTTTGGCGTACGGGGGCTTACACGTAACAAATTGTAGTAATCACTCGCCAATGTTAGCGGAAAACAACGAAACCACGCTACACAGTAACAACAGTATCGAGAACATGCTAATTGGTAATGTTCGTGTATTATGCTGACTGGCTGGACACTGAAGCGGGATATTTGGCTGACCAGTCGGGACAAGAGGTTGAATAGTGGGAATGTCCCGCCTAAAACGGGACGTGTGGTAAGCCCAGCTATCCTAATAAAGCGCTGGATATGTGGTCTCAAACTGTGAGTCGTGACAAAAATGAAATTGATTCTCCAAATATTGTCAAGCCTTTAGAATTTGACATAAAATGATCAAATCTGTGATTTTATATCGGACTTTCGGTACACCCGTAGTATGTGTACCAGGTTAGAGTTCAATTTAATTTAAGTTAACTTTATTCTGATTTCCCTCATTTCAGTTCTATTACGAGTTCGGGGACTGTCTGTATTAGCCAAGTGATTATACCCCCGTACATAGGTTTCAGTCCCTTTACACAACTTGATATAGGGTAAGCGAACAAAATTAGTTACCTCCATATTGCTACACACATAATTCTGGAGTGGTTCCATTACATTTGAACCCACGTACATTTGAACCCATGACAATTGCACCTGTATGCTTTTGCACCTATGGAATTTTTTTGTTTCTAACCCTAACCCATGGGTTTTAGCACCCGCATATAGATTGAACCCGTGGATATACACATGGGTTCAAATGTACGTGGGTTCAAATGTACGGTCGCCTTCTGGAGTACATTCAATTGCGTAACGATCGTCAAGCACACAAAAGCAAGACCAATCACCGCATTGATAAAATGTACATACATTATTCTTGTCTCCACAGCACGTCATGATTCGTAGTAGGGAAGCAGAAAGTTTGACAATATAAAGATTGCAAAGGAATATTGCCGATACCACATATATTGTATTGGCCCTCACAGATGTATTGAATGAAGTAAAATAATTTAAACAATTACTGATTTAAAACAACAAACCTGGTTAAGATATATTGAGAACTGACTTCATAACAAAACACCTTGGACATTGTCACCCATGGACACCCTGTATTGGCCGACCTGCATTAATTGACTCATCGAAAAATTGAATAATTATGAATAGGGTTATCTTAAGCTAAAAATAAATTGGGCCAACAATTTTTAATAGTATCTAAAATACTATAATAGTTCGCACTTGCATTACAAATAAATCGTAGCAATCAGTACCACCCGTACTTAAAACATGTTCGCTATTGCATGGTAGGAGATTATGTTATTCTTATTTATTAAACATCTGTTACCCACATTTGTTATATTTAAATGAAACCCGCTTCTCTCATATCGCATTGCGAACGGGAACGTATGGCTAGTTCAATAGTCGATCGTTATCAAAGCGTTGGCTTTTCATATTCGCGTGATTGATCGAGCGCCGAGTTCCCCGTCATCCGTAACCAGTGTTTTTTTTCGCCATACTGAACATAGGTGCAAGACATATAAATTACAATAAATTATAAACAAGCCGTATTTCAGAGTGAAGGAGACGTGGAAAAGCAATACTGGTTACAGAGCAGCGACAAGTCGTTGTGTTGACACTGGTCCTATATAATAGATTTGTGTTTAGGAGAGCTCCGTAAAGATGTATGTATGTTTATATGTATAACATAGGTACAAGACATATAAATTACAATAAATTGTAAACAAGCCGTATTTCAGAGTGAAGGAGGTGCGGAAAAGCAATACTGGTTACAGAGCAGCGACACTTATAAATAAGTCCTAGTTGTTGTGTCGACACTGGTCCTATATAATAGATTTGTGTTTAGGAGAGCTTAGTAAAGATGTATGTTTATTTTCCTCAAAATAGTAACAGTATTTGCATAATGAAAAATAAAGACAAGTTACTACAGACGAGATAGGTGTTCAAGACTTTACTGGCCTAAAATACATATGTGCGATATGAACCCCACAAGTATAGCACCAGTTTAAGACTGCTGCGTTATAGTAGGACAACAGACATGAAATGAAACTATAATACAATACACAAGACAAAGAGGTACGGCACAACGACGATATGTACCGTACAATAGACAGTTTATGGCGCGTCGACGTTCGTTTTAAATAATTGGTTTGTGTTTGAGAAAGCTAAATAAAGGTTTTAGTCAGTAGTGTGTAGTTATTGCCAGGTTCGCGAACAACGAATATCATAAGGTCAATAACCAAAATTTTTGTGCTTGCAACTACTAGAATGCTTATGTTAAAAAAGGCGCGGCCTGCAATTCCACTTAGTTATTTATCTCTATCAAGGTTGCACGCCTCTGAATTAAACAGTGAAAGTTTGAAATTACGTGTTAGGTAGTGTATTTAAAGAAGGAGTTACGTGCTCCGCAGATATGGACGATTAATATACCTTGTGTGGTTATTGCCAGGTTTATAGGCGGTTTAAGACATCTCTGTTAATTTTCGGGACGCACGTGAGAAAATCGGCGCGGCGAAACCTTTGGAAACCGCTGTCTTTTGAGGTTGACCATATCTACTCATTAAAGATACGGGTGATGATAATGTTAAGTTTAGTTAAGTATTTTATATAGTTTCTCTTGGAATGACGCTTTCGACAGGCAGTTGCTGAAACACACGGAACGGCGGTTCAGAAGTATGTGTACCAATATGGAGGTAACTAATTTTGTTCGCCTTTTTCACATCAAGTTGTGTAAAGGGACTGAAACCTATGAGCAAGGGGTGTTTTCACTTGGCTAACACAGACAGTCCTCGAACTAGTAATAGAACTAAAATACGGAAACTCGGAATAAAATTATGGCCTAACCCTAACCTGGTACACATACTATAGAGGTACCCACGGAACTACTATAAATATCGAAGAACTGAAAACCTTGTAATTCGGCAGGTCTAAATAGGCTGGTAGGAAAGCCAGATCAGATGAGATTTGGGTTTGCAGTTATCAGCAAGGAATAGGTTTCCGAGATTACTCAGAAGTTTGAAAGATTTATTATTAACTTTTTCAGATAACTAACTATGAAGCCTAGCTTTGTTCTTAAACGTCCCGTTAATTTCTGCTCCGACACAAAGTGCAACAAAAAGTTCGGTTTCCTGTCTCAAAAGTAAGTACATTTAGGGGAGCTCCCGAAGTATGTGTACCAAGATGGCGCACAACCTGAACCGTAGCCTGGTACACATACTATGTTCAGGTTGTGCGCCATCTTGGTGCACATACTCCGGGAGTCCCCTTTTAGGATTTTTTACAATTTTTTACGGGCCAATTTTCTGTGTTCTGAAGAAGCCGCTAAACTCCAAGTCGTGTCACGGAATACAGATTTCGAGCCATTCATAGAGATTGGTCTCACTCACTAGTTGGCGGCGAGTCCAAAAAATTTAGGGCTGGGCATTTTAAAACGAATAGTGAATTGTTCGAACCGGTTCGGACAAAAATCCAAATCGCCGCCATCTTGTTTTTTTCTGGGCGCCAAAGGTCGTGGTGAATTTCCTAATTGTTTGGTTGTTGAAGAAATATTCTAAAATGCAATTCTGACATATATATACCTTTTTCTTCCTTGTTAGTTACTATGAGTTGATAGAGTGAGTTATTGACAAGACATGCTTTTTATTGTTTGTGAACACTCAGCTAACTGTATGAGTGATGAATTCGATGTTTTCAATAATTAATGTGTTGAGAGGACTCATTAAACTATAACAGTTTCCTTCAATTATATATCTCATGAGTATTTGAGATTCGATTCAAAAAATATTCGATTCGATTTCGAAATCATCCGGTATTTTAAAATGTGTTAATGACAGTAACTCTCGTTTCAGCGGTCGCAGTTTAGTTATTCAAAAAGGATCTTCCTTTACTTCTGAATGAGTGTGCGTCTCCATGCTTTGAGCAAATCTCCCAGAAATACCGCAACATTTTTGCTGACGAACGTGCATTCGGGGTATCTGCTCCGATATTCCAAACAGCTCCTAATGTGATAATATTTTCTGCATTTTGTACATTTTTAGATTTCACTGCAGAGCTTGTGGAGACGTCTTTTGTAAAGCATGTATAAAACAGAAAACATACTTACGATACGCAAATAAAGATGTGAGAGTCTGTAACGACTGTTATTACAGATTGAAGGTGAGGAGCTTCTGCAGAAATCGCAATTGTTACGTCATTGTTGACTAATTGTTGATTGATACGGATATAAACTAGGAAATCGATGCATGGGTAGACAACTAAGCGGAATATAGGGAGTGGTTTGCCATCTCCTCCCAGCACTAATATCCTATCTTCTCTTTCAGAACATAGACGAATATAGAACACGGCACATTGTCAGCAAACTAGACTATTTGGAAAATCAGAAATACGAAAAAGAAAGAGGAAGTTCTGCTCCGAGATGTTGCAGATGCACCGACCGATTTGGGATTATAAAACGACGAAAGTGAGTTGAACCAGTGTTGTATCTAGGGTATTGCAGCCGTGTATCGTGCATGGGCGCTGTTTGAGCAAGGGCGCAAAAATTTTAAGCGTGAAAAGGTCTCAATAATAACCGGTTCTAGATTCTGCAATTTCTGACATCGGCTCAGGTACGCGCTCGTCCAGCAACAATTGGTAAAGCTCATAATAAAATAAATAACATTTGTCACTTAAAATAAGGAAACTGCTACAAACATCAGGATGAATTTACATAATTATCCCGGGGGAGTGGAAAGCCGATAAGAAGTGGTATAAGCCGATAAGTGGTAACTGACCAGCGAGCGGTTAGGTGAACCATCCTACGGCGGTGAGGAGTCCAGCAATCCTCTCGTACATAACTATCCCCGCATAGGATTCGAACCTGCGTAACCACGCAGGGTAATCAGAGGTGCGATGACGAGCGCATTTCTAACGCTTAGCACGATGAGCCAAACTGCCGCGCCGCGCGGTACTCCGTATTTACACTAAACGCTTATTTTATTCGCCATACAGGTTCTGTGGTGAATGTCAAAAAGCCTGTTGTTCAAGATGCAGAAGCTACGCTTTCTCGCAACCCACTGGAAAACCACTCAGAGTTTGCTACAACTGTCACGGTGAGAAATTTAACAGGTTTGGAAAAACAGGGAAAGTTAGAAAACTTTAGTTTCAAACCTAATTGAGATTTTGTTTGCACTCCCGATTCTATAATCAGTTCAATTTGTCCCGTTTTTATCAATTACTTTATCGTCTATTATGCTGATTATGGAGTTGAAATAAACTTATACTTATTATACTAGTTTGGTTATAGCAGGGGTGGGCAAAGTTTTAAGATTTATTTCAGCCGAGGGAAATAATTCGAACGGAATACTTATCATATTAGCTATAATACAAAACTTTCAATTCAGAATGTGGTCTGGTTACGCCGCACAATATCAAATTCGGCTCAAAAGACGAGCAATCTGATTGGACGTTAAATCAGTCACAAGGCGACACCACTATTGAAGAATATTGTAATCGTACCAGTCGGTAGATGGCGACATTGAGCAAGATGCCGTTTGGTTTGACTTCGAAAGATGTGTACCAAATCTGATATTTCAATGCATACTTTCAGGCAGCGACTAGCTGTCTCTGATGTATCCTAAAATGCTAAATAATTTTCCCGTTCCGAATTTGCGGGCTCTGAATGTAGAATTACGTGATAAAATCTCTCTCTTCCGTGTGAATATAACTCCAACTACTGACAACAAATTCTAATTTTATCACATGTTTTATTCGTATTCCTTTGCATTTTGAGATTATAAGATTCAGTTTTAAACATGCATACAATGAACTTGGACATTTAAATGTTGCGTGTTCGCCATCACAATCACAGTAGGTATAAATGAGACCACAAGTTGGAATCCTGGCAGTGTAATCGCCTAGTTATTGATTAACTATTAACAAGGGTCCTGTTTTGTTTGTTGAATAGTGCTGGTACATTCTGTTCATCATTACATAGTATGTCTTTGAAACTAGTATATTTATTGGTTAAACTAGGTAAAGATTGTGGGTTCGAATCCCAAATTAAGACACGATGTATCTATGAAACATAATATGGCACAATTCCACCTTTTCTCTCCCCTTACAAATATGAAAACCAACAAATCGATCTTCGCAACAATTTTAAATTTTCACTCAACTTCATTGGACCTCTCTACCCGAAACGCAGGGCTAGATTGACCATTAGGCGCATGCTTAGGACACCTAGGAAAAGCAGCGTCCCAGAAAATTCTCATAGTCAAATTGTAATCGTGGCTCAGTGTTAAATGAAATAATTCGAGTTGGTCAGATGATACAGACCTCAATATTGGCCCAGATAAATCAATTTTTGCTCATTAAGTATCATTTTAAACCTCAATACCCGCGGTTTCATAATTGCTATTTTTATGTGTAGTTCTTAGGGGCTCTGAGATGATCCGGCCTTGCCCAGACCCTATTGTCATAGTTTATGGATAACTAATATAACAACTTATAAAAATCCATCGGGTCATCGGATGTAATTAATAATACCGAACATCCCAATTAACAAAGAGCATAATTTAGAAATTTGTTTTTCTGGAATATCTGCCCCACGGTACAGTGTGTCCCCAAAAATAAGACCTGGTCGAAAATCTTCAATGAATCTGGCGAGACATTCCAGAGAATGATCTGAATAATCTGTTTGGATTTTTTTTCCCCCAAAAAAACATGTTATTTATAAACAAATGAATATCGGTTTACATATTTTGTATATTTGAAAATCTCGCAATATTCTACTTTGTAATTTAGTTTTTGATAAATGAAAATAAAATACAACCCGACAAAAATAATCCGTAGTGTTATTTTTCGCTGTCTTATTGTAATAGCTAATATGATCTGACCATATTCACAGCTTTCCTCTCCCCCCATATAGTAATGAAGACATAACCTTCCATTAATTTCATCAAATGTTTTTTTATTTATAATTCAGTGCATTCTATAATTTTTGAAAAGTTATACACACAAAATAATAAAACTGAAAATAAATAAAATAATCAAATCAAACATTTACAGAATATTCTGATCAAGAATTGCGCAATTATAACTTGAGGTTATTTGCTTTACCCCCTTACCCCCCCAAAAAAGTTGATTGATTTACTGATTAAAGCTTGGGTATTTTTTACAAGGGTTTCTATACCCGTATATCTTGACATTCAAACGTTCCTTTCCATGAGGATTATTGGGGGGGGGGGGATCTTTGGGAGGGGAAGTGAAGCTCATTGAAAATATTTGTTAGGGGTATATTCACTTGGCTAACACAGACAGTCACGAATTTGAAAAAGTAATGAAATATGGAAATCGGAATAAAATTATGCCTTGACCTGATACTCATATTACAGAAGCATCAATAAATGTGCATACAAGCAAAAATCAATATTAATAATATATACAAGCTCAAATGCATGAAAATGAAAAATTAAAAAAAAATCAAAGTTAGAAAAGCTACATTTTTGTAATACAATGTAAGTTTAACTGTGGATTTTGGGAATTATAATATATTCAACACGAGTCAAAAAAAAGAATAAATTCATAAAAAAATCAGATGCAATTACTAAGTTGAAAAATCAAATACGGTTGACAAATCCTGCTTTCATTTTTCTGGAATTGATTCCCAATCAGAACCAACTTCGTTTTTGAGTGTTTATGTTTGTTTGGATTGTGGCGCAAAATCGGTGTTAAGTTTTTATCGTAAAATGTTTCAATGAAATAATTTTAAATCAGAAATAATTTAAACTCTTATTTCAATTAAAAAAGAATAAGATACAAGTATCTCAACTCAATAACAGCCGTTAAAAATTGCGACTCAAACGATCATGATGGGTGCATATATAAACTTTGCCACAGGCACAATTTTACGTAGATACGCCACTGTTCTACCGACAAAATTCATATCTGGCCCAAGTATAACCAATGCTCTCACTATTCAGTCTATTTGCTCAGTATTAATAGTAGGTCAGTTTTGTGTTTATTTTACAGATAATATAAGTGACTGTATTATTCTAGACTTTGGCAATTTATCCCTCTACAAAATGATTTTAGTAATCATATTTGGTTGTAAGCTTTAATCCAGAAGTGGGCAATTACTTTCGTAAGTGAGACACTCACAGATAATAGACTTGGTTAATGGACTTTCAAAACTTTGATAACATTAGTCTTCCTGCTGAGTGTCACTAATGCAATACAATAGGTCAAGGTGGTCCAAGATTGGCAGCTCAGCGGGCCACAAAATTACTTTTGCATTGTTCGCGGGCCACAATAGTGCCAAGAACTTCGATCGTTGCCTCAGCAAGCCATAACACTAGCCAATTCAGTGACATTAGTGATGCAACAATATGTCAAAATATTGTTTTGGTTAATTTTATGACGAAACAACACGAAATGCGATTTTTTGATTCCTCTCCGAATGCGACGCGGGCCACTTATTATGAAGTGGCCCGAAGTGGCGGGCCACATGTGGCCCGCGGGCCTGGGTTTGGACCACCCTGCAATAGGTATTTGTTGAAATTTATATCCATAAAAACTATAGTCGTAATTTCAGCGGGCACAAGTGGGCCGGATGAAACACATCGGTGGGCCGGATCTGGCCCGCAATTTGCCCACCCCAACTCTAATCCATTCACCATCACCCTTTTAGATGAATGAATTTTGTGCCCAATTTTTAAAAAAAAAAACTCTGGTTATGTGGAATTCACTATCGCATAGCTGTTTTCCTGATTGTTTCAACATAATTGTTTTGGATCCCTCGTTAATCTGTAATCAGTAAGTCACAATTTAGCATTATAATTTCTTATAGTCTTATGCATCACTCGGGAGATTAGTCTCCTTAATTTTTCGGTGGGTGCATGTGAGTAATTTAAATAAAAATTCATTAATTTTGAAAAACTATGCTGTATCATACCAGACTTGTCGTGCTGTTTTGAAAATTCACAATCTGAAACTATGGGGTGTGGAATTTATCGATACCATATAATTTTTTGGTCCTCACCTATACCCTTCCTATGGACCTTTCCCCGACCTTTGACCCCCGAAAAAATTCCTCCTATACTTTACCATTGCAAAATTTTCGGGGCTATTTTAAGAGTGCGTTTGCGGGTTGGCGCCTGTAAAATGGGGTATGTGTTTCAAACCATCATTATCATTCATTGCATACAACAATCTGTTTTTTAAAAGTACCGGTAAGGAATTTTAGCCTAGTCTATCACAGCTATTTCTACACTAATATTTTGTTACTGCAGTTAAATTAAAACTCCTAGGAAGACAAAGTGATCATTGAATTATTTGATTTATATTTAAGTTCCCGAAACCTAGAGGAAAACTAACGAATAGAGTTCAAAAAAGCGGAAACGAGGTAATGTTTACGACCACACATGAAAATCTGTCAGAGTGAGAAAAGTGTCTGAGCTTTTTGCATCTTGCTGATTGGCCAATGTCATGAAGTAAAAACGGAATTCGAAGCTCGGTCCATAGAAGGGGATTGTGACCCTATAATTTTCAGTTGTTACCCCGATTGTTGCATTGCGCTCATTATTATAAGAACGTGAAATACCTGATGAGTTACACAACATACAGGTCTTAAATTATTTTTGGAAATTATATTTGCATCCATGTATGTTTAGGTCATTTTTAAACGTACAAATAACCGCAACCACAATAATTATGCTAATAAACTACCTAGTTTCACCGAAAATACCACAATATTTTTCAATTTTCCTTTGAAAAATAGCAGTAGGGCTTATTCTTAGGTCTTATTTTTGGAAAAACACGGTAGAATTTTAAAATCAGAAAAATTTAATCACAGAGATGAATCACAATGACGACAATACTATAAACGCTTCCTGGAAATTTCGTTGGTTTGGTTTCCCTTGTTAAATCTGAGCTGATTCAGATTGTTTTCAACACTATATAGGGTGTCCATAAGGTATTAAAATTTTTAAAAATTGCAAAGGGAATTCATCGATACCATATATTGTTTTAGCTCTCACAGATGTAATGAAGTAAAAATACTTTAAACAATTACTAATTGAAAACAACAACAAACTTGGTTAAGATATATTGAGAACTGACTTCATGGACGGACACTTTGTATAACAGAGGCTGCTAGAGGTCGGCAAAATAGATTATTTTTATCAAATTTGACGATATTGGCTTTTTAAAATCTCGCGAAAATTTTCACTGGTTTCAAAGTTCTGGTTTCATCTGGTTTTAAAACATACAAACCGGGCTACAAAATAATTGTAAAAATTTGAGTACTTCTCGTGCTTTATGCAAACTTAGTAATTGAAACAATATGATACGCACAAAAAGAAAACAAGAACATCAAAACGCATAGACAACACCTACTCAAATTTGTCATTTCCCTCTGCCCACGGCCACTCTGTTAGCGTGGCCGTGGGCGAATTCTTGCGGAATTGAAGCATTTAATTTAGAAACTTGTGAGACACTATTCGCCCTGGCAAAGTGTGGTAGATATCAAAAATTTCATATAAATATTACAATTTAAATTTTATTATGAAGCCTGTTCTCAATATATCTTAACCAGGTTCGTTGCATTTTAATCATTAATTGTTCAAGTATTTTCACTCAATTTAATACATCTGTGAGGGCCAAAACAATATGTGTTATCGATAAATTTCCTTTGCAATTCAAAATTTTTTTAAGACTTTATGGACACCCTATCATATTTTCAAACATTTTGTCTGAGAATAAATAACCATTTGTAATTCTAAGCTTATAATGACTTCTTTTACCTATGTATCCATGGAGTTTTATTGAACAAAGGCTGACTGTTTACTTTTTAAAGCTCTTAAAGAGTAGGTCTGCTTTGAAACCAAAATCAACAAAGCATGTCCAGACAGAATAAACACACTGTAATTGTGCTATTTTTATTCCGATGTTACACTTGAATAACTCAAAAGTTCTACACAACAAAGAGAATCAGTGGAGCGTGGCCAGTCGGAATAATCACTAATTCATGACATCAAAAGGAGTCAGTGGACCGTGACCAGCCAGAATTAACTCAACAGCT